AATTTTGAACATCATTACTCCAGTCTTCAGTGTCACATGATCCTTCAGAAATCATTCTAATATGCTTATTTATAATACATTTTGGAAACAGTTGTGCCGTTTAATATTTTTTTTTATTGTTTTTTATTACCTGTGATTCTTTTTTCAGGATTCTTTGATGAATAAAGAGTTAAAAAAAGAACAGCGTTTATTTAAAATAGAAATCCTTTTTTAACAATACACTACCATTCAAAAGTTTGGAGTCAGTATCTTTTCTCTTTTTTTGAAATAAATTAATACTTTTATTCAACAAGGATGTGTTAAATTAATAAAAAAGTAATAGTAAAGACTTATATTGTTAGAAAAGATTTCTATTTTGAATAAACACTGTTCACAAGTTTTCATTCATCAATAAGTCCTGAAAAAAGCATCACAGATTCCCCCCCAAAAATCCAAAAATGTAATTTTTAAAATTTGTATTAGTTTGCATGCATGTGAGCCTATGATCAAACAAAATGTTTATATTTATGTTTGTATATGATAGTTTTATAAATTTCCCCAAATTTCTAATTAATTCCCATAAATTCCCCAAAATTCCCGTAAATTCCCATAAATTCCTGGTAAGTTTCAAACTTGGAATATTCCCCAGACGAAGTTCCCATGGAAAGTTTCTGGAAAATTTCCGCCCCTTTGCAACCCTAATCCTGATCAATAAAAGTAATGAGTTTCATCTCCAGTGCGCTGTGTGCCCGTCTGAGTGTGTGTGTGTGTGTGTGTGTGTGTCGTGTGCTGCCTCGCTCTAATCCAGAGTTTTCATAGAAGTGCTTGATTCTTCCAGTATTTTGGCTGGTGTCTTTCACGGGACATTATCCTGCTTTACAGAGGGCTGGACTGAGCGGGGTTCAGCAGGTTGATTAGTGTGTCCATCTGTTCACTGTCTGCCTTTGTGTTTACTGGAGTTTTTACATGCTCTGCTGTGAACTCCTCAGACAGGTTGAAGCAGTACGATAAGAAAAGCTCTGTACTCTCTGCCCACTTGCTGTTTTTTGGGAAAATATGGAAAGTAGAAAAAGAAATTATTTGTTTCACAGCAAATGCTGTTTGTTACTGTCATTTTAGTTTCTAGTTCTAGTTCTTGAGTAACAGTATTTGGGACAATATCGTTGCTACTGACAATACTGACTCACTGTAAACGTTTTTGCCATTTGAGAGGCCCTTTTTTTCTTTTGCGTATCATAAAAAGATATTTTGAGACATATGAAAGATGGATTTCATGATGCAGGTGCACCGAAATGAAAATTCTTGGCCGAAGCCAAAACCGAACAAAATGAAACACTGGGCCGAAGGCCGAATACCGAACACTGTTTTTCAAGTTTTTTTCCCCCATGTATTTTGCCAATTTTTTTTCACCATTGCATAAATTAAATAGCCAAAATGTGCTTTTTACTGTTTTGTCTTGCTTTTCAAAGAAAAAAAATCAATTACAAAACAACAATTTAAAAATATTTAACACTGAACATTTTTAACATTCTAGCAGACATTGTACCAACAAAGCACAATTTAACTTAATATTAACAAGTTAGTAATATAATATTTTTGGCCATCAGACCCCCTTTTTGAATCAGGCATGCATTTTTACTGTACAAATAAAAGCAGCCTTGCTGAGCAGAAGAGACTTCTTTTAAAACATTAGAAAATATTACAGATCCCAATTTGAACACTATGTGTGAATGTTATAATAAATGTAGTAACAGAGCTGTTGTAATTATTATTATCATTATTATTGTCTTACTTTTTATTTTATTTTACAAAACAACAGTCTCATTACGAATACGTCGCACGTATCGCATTGTCACATGCCTTGTAAAAATTCATAAATATGTGACTGAGCAACTGACGAGTAACAGTGTTTCAGCTCAGATTTTCCTCACGCTTTGGACTTTGAATCCTGGTTAACAAGCAGATAGCGCTGTCAGAATACATGCAATTCGTGCGTGTATTAGAAAACATAAC